CCAGAATCTTGAGTAAGTACGGGCGGTCATTGACCGTTGACGGTTGCAATAATAATCAATATCGTGAATTGAAATTAATTAGATCGTAGTTCGAATTACAAGTGTAAATGTGCATTATCTACCCGTCTAATAATATTTAACGTGTTAGAATTTCAAGTTTGAAAAATGGATCCAATTACTTTATTTCAAGGTTCAATTTGCTAATAATATAATTCTAACAGGAAAAAAAGATTATTTATAGTTTTAAATATGATAAAAAAAAAAAAAATTTGTTGTTGAATGTGGAAAGAAAAATTAGTGTCAATGCTTATCCCTTCTACCAAATTTTTTTGCCGATTAAATATTCTCTACTGACAAAATTGAAATAAATGTATATTTGGATTTCAATAAATGTCGACTGCCAATTTATTTTTCTTTTTCGTTATTCTTTCTCTTCAAAATGTAGTTATTATATTTGATCTGATTGTTGACCCAAACAAATTATCGGATTATTGAATAAGTAGTTTAATTGCTGGGTCGTTAATGTCAAAATTTAAAAGAAAGAAACTATATCTATTACTTGATAAAACTTACCCCACACACACACACACACACATATTTTGTTACATATAATATTAATATTCATCGAATACTATAGTGGTCAAGCTTTTTAAATTCTTAAAGGAAGTCATAAGTACGAATCTTCCTATGCCCATACTCCAAAATGGTGAAAAATATTAAACTAAAATCATCTGTATAAAGGACTGCAATTATTTAGAGTCGAACTCAAGACCTCTCGTTCATTAATGCGAGCTCTTAAAAATTGAACTAAAAAAAATTCTTTGAAAAAAAGGAAATATAGATATATCTATCCATAATATACATTGATACAAAAAAGCGGATGTCGACAGATCTAGCACGAGAGGTTGTTGGTGCTCGCGTGTGCTGGATCCCCCATTGGGCATCATTGTATAATACTACAGTTCACATATTACAAAGCAACTAGTTCATAATGTATAGAAAAATTGAGAGTAATAATAATTTTTTGGAGAATGTGTGGTTAAAAGATGAGAAGAAATTTTGAATTTAGAGTGTATGATTGAAAATAATCTTCCTTTTTTCTTTTTTTAAAACTTCTTTTAAAGAACTTCCATTGGATTTCAATCAATTCATGGGTATGTGTTTATTTTACTTTTTAATCTCGTCAACATTTTTTGGCTTTTACAAAGTTGAGTCTTTTTGCTTTGAATATGTTATTTGTAGTCATTTAATACCGTACTCCTACATCGCATATATGTGACGGTTAATGATTTGATATATGAGGTAATAAAAAATTACCACGTTAATGTATCAAATCTCTAACAATCACGTGTATATTACGTATGACGAGTACGGTAGTAAATGACTGCAAATAGCATTACTCGCTTTGCTTTAACCCCAATTTTGTTCTCCGTTGGAAATCAATAAGATCCAAGAAAAAAGTGGCTATCATAACTCAACTGCTTGAAGTCGGAAAATCACCCTTTTAGTAGCCTTAAAGCTATTATCAACTTATTACCTTGTGGTCTTACTTTAATTCTTGCTTTTTTTGCACTTTACTTATTCTTAAGTATGAACTTGAAGCTTATTTTGTGACAATTGACTTTTATTTACTGAATTGGGGTTGGATCTTTAGCTCATTATGTACAGAAGGTGGCAACGGAAGATGCAAGATTTGAGAACTAGTTATAAGGTGTTGGAGGTTGAGTGCAAGAATGCTATGTGAGTAAATTTCGGAATGAAGAAGTGCACCGGTGGAGTGGTTTGTTTGCGATATTGGATATTTCCTTACTTATGTCGTTATATAATAGAGTTGTACGTTGGTGAGACGAATATGGGTTATTTTTTGAGACTGAATTTGGGTATGAACGATTAGGCTTAAAGAAATTTATAGGGGCGTGGAAATCACATTTCACGTCTGATGATTTTGGAAAGTTGGATGATTTAGTTGAATTATAATTTTTTTTTAACGATCATAACTTATCACGTGGAATTTTCGTTTGACACGTCAGCAATAAAGAGAACAAATTTGATTGATTATGAATAAAGTGCAGATGGATAAAGTTCAACAAGCATTGTGAAGCAATTTACAGTCTAGTAAGTAAATCATGATCATGGTATAAATTGGGTGATTATTGAAACGTAACCCACGTTACGAGCTCTATTTCTATTGTGGAGTGGACTACACAATGCATCTACGAGTGGGTCTGCATTGAGTAGGCCAAAAAAATCACATAGAATAGGAATCGGGCTCTCAAATGGGCCTGAGTACTAACATGTTTCTACCAATTTAGAGCATGTGAGCTAAGCTTAAATTTGTACTTATAAGTAAATAAGTACGCTTAAAATGCAATTTCTTAATGTTATAACTAAATAAGTTGCTTATTTTTCAGTAAGGGAAGAGTTATTGTCAAAATAAGTAACTTAGAAACTATTAATGAGTTGTTGATCCCACTTCAATTTTATCTCTCAAACCAGCCTCTCAAGGCTCCTTGTGTTTTGGAGGTTAGAGTTGTGACGCACTACACATCTTGGGTGACTTAAGGTGAACATGAGAATAACTGCTTTCAGGAGTCCACAACTTGTTGAATGTGATGAGGTTTTTTACACTGTTCAAGGTTTTGTGTTTCTCTATTTTTTCGAATGGTTGTTATGTCTTTGAGGCTGAGCTTGACGATGCTATTTGTGTCATCAGCTATGCTTCGACCATGGTTGGAGAGAGCTTGGTTGAAGAGTGACTCGACTTATTTCGTGGTTATGATCTTAAAAAATTCTTTAGATGCGAGGTATAGAATATAACAAAATATCTTGGTCGCTTCACTCGATTAAACATTGTAGTTAGCTTGTATATTGCTTTTAAGGGTGGGTAGTGGATTCTATGATATCACGATCTCGTAGCATCATCTCTCATACTCAGTGATAAACAATTCTTGATTTTATTTGTAAGTTTATTTATTTTTAGGACATTTAAGCTTGCCTAGTTATAGATATGTTGTCACGTATTTCATTGCACGTGATAATAAAATGATGGTATGTCAAAATAATTGATGTTCTAAAATGGTGCTCAGTCGAAAACGTCCTCGTGCGCATACCCATTTTTTTGCCCAACCCACCTTATAAAAAAATGAGTCAAAATAGTAACACATCCAAATATATTAGAGACAAAACAAAAAAAATAAAAATAAAAAAAATGAAAAATTACACAAAAATAACTTATACTTAAAGAGTAGCCAAACATGCTTCAAGGAAAGCCACCCGGCAAAGATGAAAGCTAATTCTCCTGTCACTCCTACTTTATCACGTTAAACTTTCCCAAACTTTTCCTCCTAGGGTTTTTCCCCTTTCGAAATCACACAGATCCATATGCATTATCATAGAAGTTCATTTATGAAAGCTGAACTTGATTTTTTGAGAATTATTGATCTTGTGAAATTTCAAATTCCATTCAGCTCGCGGATTAGCTCATTCTGCGCCTAAAGTAAAAGGAGCAGGTTGATCTCTAGTTCTCTTCCCGCACTATTCTCCCACTAAAAAGAGTAATTGAGAATCTGGAGCACCTTTCTGAACGTCTGTCAATGGGAAAATGAGTTTCTTCTACTCAGGTATTATAGCAATCCATCCTTTATCTGTTATAGATATCTGTTGTTAAATGTTTATGCATTGATTTTGTTAGCCGAGCTTTTAGTATTAGCGTTGTCCTACGATTGGATCTTGAGGAGTTTAGCTGTATGACAGTTGTGATAGTAAATTTGAAGTATATATTTCTGGAATAATGAGTAAAGAAGAGAAAATACAGTTCTCTCTCCCTTTTTATTAGGATTTAATGAATAGATATCTATAGTTTTTAAAATTCTTTTTTATGAGCTGCTTATAACTAAAAATGAAGGATGAAATGGTGATTTTTCAAAAAAATTATTAAGAAAAAATTGAGGAACGTAGGATGAAGCGAAATAGTATTTCCGATACCATGATTTCTGAAATTATTTGAGGAAGGAGGAATTGAATAGCAATCGAAGTAATTGAAACTCCCGAGAAGTTCAAGAAATTTTATTTTATTTATTTTTTAATTGTTGACAATGAGATAAGACTCTTGCAAACGAGACATTTTCCTGTCAAGATTCAATTGGAGTTCACACGACAAGATGCATTTTATTGGGTTTTCTGGGAGTTCCAGTACAATTTCTTACAATTTAAACTTGTGTTGCTGACTATCTGCAATTTTTTATGGCCAATCTGTTGATTTTAAATTTAATGATTCGATCTGTAGTATAGGTATTTGATATGCCAATTTGACCTACTTCCTGGGATATTTGTCAATTAACCCAGTAGTTGTACTCCGAGTCTCTATGTTGCTATATTGTTAGTAGGGTTTTATGGATTGTGTAAAGAACGGTACTCGAGTTAAGGGTAAGTGACCTATTTTGAAATTCGTTGCTTTGGTTCGTAGTGTTCTAGGTAGGAAAGGATTTTATTTATTAATTTATTTTTTTCAATATTGTGAATGAAGAAGGAAGGATAAGCACAAGGAAGCAAAATAGTGTTAATATCATGATTTCTGCCAGTGTTTCAGGAAGTAAAAACTTCCCATCACGAAATTGAAAATCCAAAAGCGTTCAAGAATTTTTTGATATAATTTTTAATCTTGACAATGAAATATGATGCAAAAATGACCTTTTTCTACCGAATAATTCAATGGGAAATTTCAATATGAAGCATTTATGGGGATTACGATTTTAGAACAGTTTGTACAATGTATTATGTGGGTTTGCAAATCAGATACATTACAATTTGCTTAAGTATAAACTGGTGCTTCAGATTATCTTCATACATTTATGGCTTTTCCTGTTGCTGTCTAAATTTATAGTAATGTTTTGCCTGTTATATAGGTATTCGATATGCTATGACAAGCATCCATGGATAGTTTGTAATTACCCAGGTGTTCTATTCCGAGTCTCCATGGTGCCAGATGGTTAGTAGGGGTTATGGATTGTGTAAAGACTGGCACCCGAGTTAAGGGTAAGTTACCTATTTCAAATTTCACTATGTTGGCCTTGTAGTGTTCTGGGTGTTTTTGGCAGACTAAGGATAATTATGTAAAATTGTGTGCTTGCATCCTGTTAAGTTATTTTATTTTTTATTTCTTTCTTTATTAAGAAACTGCTTGAAGTATGTCTCTTTGAATTTTAGTTTGAGCAAGGGTAAGGACCATGATAATTAGTTGGTATTACTACCTTTTTTGTGTCCTCTAGTGTACTCATTAAAGTGCGTCTATGACAGGAGCTCATGCCATTTTATTCCTTCTTTTCCACCTCTTTCTCTTGCTAGTCTTGGGGGATCTCTTGGACATGTATTTGCTTGGATGGAGTGGTTCCTTGATCTTAAGCCCCTGTTTGAACCCCAATTTTTTAAATTCATTCGCCCCTTAACTCATTTTCAATCTCCAATTCTCCCAATAAAAATAATTTGTACGTACACCCATAACTTTTTACAAAATCTATTTATCAAAAAATTGAGCCCAACGAGGGGTTAAATTCAATATGCATTCAACATAGTTGTATCTGTACCCATATGCTAGGGATATATGCTGGTAATTCACCTGAATATGCAATGAATGCATTTCATTAGTGATGCTTTTCCTACTGTCCTTTTAAGTAAAAGTTGCTTGTAATGATTATGTTCTATTACATACAACTTAAACACCTTAATTTCAGTAAAATCAATGCCTCACTATGTTCTGAGGTTTTATGTGGTAAAATCGAACATGCAGTGTTCTCTATCAAAACAATTAAGTATGTCCCGATTCTAAAGGAATATTTTATGGTATTGCAGGTTCTTTCTCCCATCAATCACTAATTTTTGCCATCTGGTTGTCTAGCTTTCAGAATGTGCTGGCTCTGCAGACACTCCCAGAGCCTAGTCATATTTCTTCCACATCCGTGCTTGCAAGCCCACCCAAAAGTGGAATATTTGAACCCATAGAAATATCACCAGCTGTAATTCCACATCTTCCTTCCCCTGAGGATTCTTTCCCACCAATGTATCCGACTTTTCCAACTACATATGATCCAATCCTGACTGGAAGGTGCCTTGTAAATTTCTCTGCCATTTCGAGTATCATGGACAAAACAGCATCCGACTGTAATCAACCTTTGGCAGCAGTAGTGGGAAATGTTATATGCTGCCCACAATTTAGTAGCTTGCTCCACATATTCCAGGGATTTTACAGCACCAGTTCCGATAATTTAGTTTTACAAAATGCAGTTGCTGATGATTGTTTTAAAGATATTGTCAGTATACTTGCCAGTAGAGGAGCAAACAGCTCAATACCAACCATCTGTTCTGTAAAATCTTCAAATCTTACTGGTGGTTCTTGTCCTGTGAAGGACATAGCCACTTTCGAGAAATCAGTGAACACGAGCAAATTACTGGAGGCTTGCAGTAAAGTTGATCCTCTCAAAGAATGCTGCAGACCAATTTGTCAGCCTGCAATTATGGAGGCTGCACTTAAGATCTCAGGAACTCGGTCATTTTTGAATGACAATAAGAATATAATTGGACAATCGAATCATGTTGACATGCTTAATGATTGTAAAGGTGTGGTTTATTCATGGATCTCAAAGAAACTCCCTCATGATGCTGCTAACACAGCATTTCGAATATTGTCTGCCTGCAAGGTTAACAAAGGTGTGTGCTTTAATATTTCCACCCAAGTGCTATAGGCTTGTTATAGATCTTGAATTCAAAACATTTTGATTCTGCAGCCATGTCCTTGCCTTTATTTTTGGCCTCATGGGACCGAGCTGCTGGGGGAACATTCAGTAGATCTGCTCTATTCTTGATTTGCAAGGATCTCAATGTGATCAAAACAAATGATCTAATAAAAAGTTCACTCCGTATTCTACATTTTTTTAAGGAAAAAATCCTATGGCTTGTGTCTGATGCCTTTTAAGTGTTGTTGGATGATTAGATAGTGTTTAAACCACTTTTAGAAAGTAAAGTTGAGATTTAGGAGTTTTAAATTGGATTGTATTTATTTGCTTTGAACTCAAAGAAGAATGTGAATTTCCTAAACAAGTTTCTTGTTATGTTGATTTTAAGGTGATCTTCAATGAAACTGATATTCTTCCTTGAATTTCTTATTTAGAAACCTCTTTTTAATGATTATGGTATTACTTTATGCTTTAAATTTATTGATGAGGCCCTGCTTATTTTGTTAGTAGTATCAACCATTCATATAGAATTTTCTGTTTCTATTTTTGCATGCTGTTAACAAATCAATGCTGAAGTTCATGCTTCATTATATAAATTGAATAAAACAATCAACTCCACGGGGTTCCTCGTATTTTCATAAGAAATGAAGCATATGCAATGACTTAAACCAGTAATTATCTAGTTTATCAAAGTTACCTATTGCAAAAACAATAGTTCAAGTGCCATTAGGATGCTTTGATGGGCTCTGCACGAAGACTAGCTGATTAGATGTTCTACAACATTTAGGTATAAACTTTGTTAAGTATGTGGCATCTGCTTATGGTTTTGAATCCCGCCTCCTTCCCTATAGGCTTTATCACCTATCCTTAAAGAAGAATTGTAGTGGTTAATGAAATCTGAGTGTCATTCTCTGTGTGCCATATCAGAGCTACTTAGTTTTGTAATGTATAGATGTATTATTTTGGCTTCTAATTGATCATCTTGTGGGCTGCAGTTTGTCCTTTGGATTTAAGGCAACCATCAGAAGTAATTGAAACATGCCGAAATTTCTCTGCTTCTACTCCTTCATGCTGCAGTTCATTAAATACTTACATAGCGAGGGTACGAAGGCAAATGTTAATTACAAATCGGCAAGCGATAATATGCGCTACTGTATTTGGATCCATGCTACAAAAGGCTGGGGTGATGACTAACGTTTATAAGCTTTGTGATGTGGACTTGAAAGATTTTAGTCTCCAAGGTGAGGATTTGAATTATGATTTCATTCTGGAATCTTTTGTTTGAAGTTATAAGTTTCTCTGATCTCGTATTTTCTTCTCTCTCTGTTTCATGATGGAGCAGCATATGGACAAGAAGGTACTCTCTTCCTCCACTTTGTCCTCTTTGATTTAATCTTCCTTTTTTGGTGTTTTATACATAGGTTTACGTTATTGTGGAATGCAGTTTATTGTTTATTTGCAGTGCATAATTCCTTCTATTCGCTTGCAAATCGTTCATTTTTTTTTTCAACTTTTCTCTTGCTTTGACTTGAAGAAGTCTGCACGTGCTTATTGTTTTACATAGTTTTAGCTTCTTGGGACATTCTTCTTCGGTAATCGAATTGCTACAGTTTGAGTAACACTTCAATTACCCTGATACCATGTGCTTATTGTTGTTTGATGAGACCTTAAGATGTCTATGAAAAAGTCTGATTGCCTAATTGCTGATTTAGTCACAGCTCAGTTGTCAATGAACTTCCATTTGTTTAATTGTCTCAGTTTGTCAGTAAAAAATTGCAGTCACATGGCTCTTGTTTAGTCAGAGCTCATAGTTTTAAAAATAGGTCTAGTTTCTGTGCCCGTATTCAACTGTTCCAGGTATGCTTTACTAGCATTTCTTATCATGTTGTCCGGCCTTATGTCTATGCATCTGGCTTAGACATTACTGCATTTATTTCAGGATTCTGCTTATTAAGTAAAATGTGGGCTTTGGTTAGAAATTTCTTGCAAAATCCTGCCATTTGTTATATTTTGTCAATTTCAAGTAAATCTTTTTAGGTTTGGACAGAGTGTAGCGTATGCCTTCAAACTCCGATCACTTCTGAGAGATAATGTGGATTTATTGATTGCATTTTAGCTCTCCTGCCCTTCACTGGCCTATATTCTCTCCCGTTAATGGGGATTGACTACATCAAAAAACTTGGGCCTTATTCTCACTGAATTTGTGGTCAGTTGCATGAATCTTTTTTTTTTTTTCACATCTCTGTTCGAAACTAGATTCCTAGAACCTAAACATGAATATAAAAGGAAATTGAATACTAAGCAAATATGTTTGTTAGTAATTACCAATTACACCTTCAGATTTTGTCTCCACTGGTTCCAAAGTTAAAAGATCAATTGATGATAACCAAAATTAGGACTGTATTTGGCATTTATAGTTGTTGGTTTGGTCCTGGTTTGAACCACATGCATTGTAGAGCCTTGTTTGAGCCCCATCTTTTTTTTTTCTTTGTCCAAAATGCATTTTGGAATAGTATTTTAATGGAGAATGTGTGGTTAAAAAATAAGGAAAAATTTTGGGTTTGCATGTAATATTATTTTATTGAAAAATGTGTGGTTCAAAATACATTTTTCTCTTTCTTATTTTCAACCACACAAGGGTTATAGTCAGTCAGATGATTAAGTTCTAATATAAACCTGTTTTATCTAGCTATAAAAATTAATTTGGTGTCTTTAAATATAGCCCCTGATTGAGCCCCCCATTCAACTACACATTCTTCCAGTAAAATAATTTTGCACGTAACTACAAAATTTTCCTTACTTTTTAAGGACACATTCTCCAAAAAATTCATTTATAGTTTGTCAAAAAATTCAAGCAGGGGCATAATATATTACGATACAACGCAAGTAAATAATCTTATATAACTTGATGACAAAAAAATTGAATTTAGTCCATTGTAATTGACTTTGTAAAGTTAGTTCAGATTGATTCCATCTTGGGCTACATTTGAACAGGTTTTAGCTTCCAATTTGGCTAACTGTAGAGCTTATAGTTTGTCAAACTAGATACGGCTTATTGAGACACGCTTATGCTTACTTAGTGGTTCTGACATTTGCCAAACACTCCTAGGTCTAGACTTATCTGTAACTGCCATGTTGAGATTTTGTACTTGAAAGTAAGATGCTTTTTCTCAAGTAGATTAAGAGGTAGTGCTTCTAGTAGATTGTTGGAAATACATATGCACTAAAGACTGATAAATCTTTACACCTAAATATAGGGTGTTTACTACGAAGCCTGCCTGCAGATATGGTATTCGATAATTCATCAGGCTTGAGCTTTACATGTGATCTAAGTGACAATATTGCAGCTCCATGGCCCT